CTTCTTGCAAATTTTAGACTTCTTGTCTAAATTTTACTGACTTTTGAATTGATATGTAGACATCATTCACAGCTTCTCAGAATGATTAAAGTCAAGTAAAAATTTGCAATTTAGAGGTCGAATAGTTGCGGAAATTTTTTTAGTTTTGTTGGATTCAACTTCCTCGAATTCGAAATCAAACTAGCATCAGAGATCTCGATTTCATACCGATGTCTGTTTTCTATTATGACCACAATCTTGCTTCTAACAAAGTCTTTGCTGAATTTCAGATCTACAAGCGCGTCCAGGTGATTCCTCAATAGAACCGTTACATCGTGACAACTACCAACATTCAAATGAAAACGAACAGCCCAACGGCATACAACGTCCCCAACAATCCATTTCAACGACTTCATTTTCGGATATGAACGCTGCCACAAACGCGAATCGTTTCAACACCTCACCTCGGTACCATCGATATTCTGTGGATTCGCCGACTTCCTATGACCCACACGGAGCATATTCACGGCCATACCGGTCCTCCACTGCCAGTGGGACTGTGGATTCTCCGAATCGCCCCAGAAGCTCTCCGCCATCGCCGCCGGTCTCCCAAAGACCGGCGGAGTCATCTTGCTCTAAAATGATCTCGAATTACAGTATGAACGGTGGTGTCAATGCCGACAATAATAATAGTAATGAAGATGGGAATATGGACCATTGCGCTTACAACGCAGGCTCGAGTTACGCCAGAAGCGAACAAGGATATTACGGCAATCCAGATTTGAACGCAAATTCAGCTGCTTACAATCCGATCGGAGACCAACGGTCTGCGTCCCTTGCTGGACCGTCATCATGTGAAGGTGGACCGGGCTCACCTTCAGCCTCCTCATCGGGCTATCGATATTCTGAGGTAGAAGCCTCGACGATTAAGAGCGTTTCGTCGGATCCAAGGACGGCTCGAATTCCGTCGTCGTCTACGGATTCTACGACAGCGTGTTCGTCTTCGACCTCTTCAACAACCTCAACGATCGTTTTAAGGCAAAATCCCACGTCGGCGCCGGGCAACAACCGCTGCCCGCCACCACCGCCTAAGCATTCAACGGGTGCCCCTGCGCCCCCTCCACCACCACCTCCGCCACCTCCTCCACCAGTGGAGATGCTTCGAAGTTGTCGCCCTTCGGTTAGTTGGCTTAGATGGATTCCGTTTGCCCATCTCCTTCCACTGAAACTTTTTACTCGTTTGAAATGATACGAAAGTGAAGTATTGGAGAATGACAAATGCAACTCATCACCTACATGCTTATTATTGATTCTTTGTGTATTATTGACTCTTTTTATTTCA